TTATATTTTGTGTATATTTTATTCAAATGTTGTGCTTTATTCATAGGACCTGTTTTGTCCCTATTCTCAACAATCACTGTTGTGATTAATCCAGTGCAGAAGTATTTTGTGATCCCGTGTGGAGATATGTATCTAAATGTCTTATCCAATATCATTCCAAGACTGAATAATACTCTTTGAGTTGAAGGGAAGCCAACATTTGCACTGTTTTTTTTTTGTTTGTTTTTTAGCTTGAAATAGAGATGTTGTAATATTGCAACACACCATATTACAGAGATAATAACACAGCATTACGACATAGATTGTTCAGGATAACCAAACCAATCTAACGATAAGCTTTATCAAAAAGGAAAGTTTCAATCCTAGTCTTAAAAGTAGTCAGGGTGTCTGCCTCAGACTAAAACTGGGAGCTGCTTGATAACTAAAGGATCTGCCTCCCGTTATACTACCAGAACCTCCAGGGACCAGCAGTAAACCTGCAGTCAATCTTAAATTCTGTTCTGGATTCAACATACGGAGGAAGCTAAAGTAAGAGTAGTATGATGTCTCTTATTGATTTTCACCAGAACTCTTGCTGCAGCATTCTGGATCAGCTGCAGGCTTTAATCTGCATTTTTCTCAGCTTCCTGATAGTAAAGAGTTACAGTAGTCCAGCCTTGAAATGACCAGTTTTTCAGCATCAGGAACTCCTCCTGATTATTCATGAACCTCTTAAGAAAGTTTTTTAGAATGTGGACGCTGATGTTATGATGTCAACGTCCACATTCCACATCTGGGGTCGTGCTGCTGCTACTTGTTTAGCATTGAGATGTTATTTTGGGCTTGAATAGCTTCACAATAGTTTTTTCCATGAATATGTTTTTTGTATCTTTCTTTTTTGAAGCAACAAATAAACACCCAATGAGCCAATGAGAAGCAGCTTCATCATCTGTCACCTATGTTTGTCACTGGTGCCTCAAATTTACAGGCATACCAGAAACACACACACACAAAAGTTCCAGCTAGGGTGTTTTGTAATTAAAAAAAAAGAAAGAAAGAAAGAAAGAGAAACAATTAATTACATTAAAACGTTTTACGTGTTATAATTTATGTAATTAATTAATCAAAAATAACGTGTTAAAGTCCCAGCAGTGTCAGCTGTAGTCATGGAGACAGTGTGGTCCAGTGCAGCTCACGTCCAGTCAATGAAGAACAGGCAATGACTGAAATAGATCCTCTCCCACCACCTCTGTCTACTGCAGTTCAGAGACTTCCACAGCCACAATGTCTGATGTTGTCTGAAACTTTCCTGTGAATTTGGAATCCTTTTCAGAACTTCTGCATTGCCCAACAACAATGCCAACTTAATAAAAACACTTAAAGCATGAGGGTTTGACAATAATAAAAAATCTGAGTCTGTTTTAATGCATAGGGGAGCATAAAAGAAAGAGCCTTCAGTCCAGACAGGCCCATAACGAGACAGAGATAGGACATCTTCCTGTCCAGTCTGAGACACTGCTCAACAGACACACATTTAATTCAAGAGTTTGGTATGTTTCCGATAATATAAGTTAAAATGTTTTTTAAATCTGTCCACACACATATATTTCACCCCCGCAACCCTCCAAAGTCTACGGTCCATTTCAAACCCAGTCTCAGACTGTAAGAAATATGCTGTTAGAGAGTCTTGGAAAAGGAGGCTGACGGTGGTGTGAGAGGCTTGTCCAGCACATCAATCAGGCCAGGCGGTTTGTCTCTGTTCCTACGCTCAGCTTGGCCCTGGGGCTTGGCTGGGCGTGGTCTGCAGAGAGGGGGCTCTGCAGGACTCAGCTTACTTCAGCTAATGATAGGGCCCACTGTACTCAGTATAAATCACTTTGACCCATAAACACCACCTACACACACAAGAAATCCACACGTTCACCTTTACTCCAACATGGAAAGTCTTATTGATTATGTACACTTGTTTGGGCATGTCGACCCACAACATGATCCAGACTGACTCGAACATGCACACAAACATACACACACACACACACACACACACACACACACACACAGTTGTCAGAAACCTGAGTTGGAAAGTGGAAAGGGGAAGGGGACAGGGTGGTGCTAATACCCTACAGCACCTAGCAGACAGGCTGCCTAGATGATGGAGTGTCTTTCCTTCCTCCTTTTTGCAATATCTTTCTCCAGCCCATCATCTAGGAATCCCGTTGCCTTCACTTGGGATAAGTTTGACATTTAAGCAAGTTTACCAATCTGAGCTGTGACAGATAAAAAAAAACACACAAACTATAAATTGGTAATAAAGGGGAACTGATGTGAGAGGATATCCTGGTGTTGCATGAGCAAAAACATCTTTAACATCTATCGTGGTGCATATTCAGTTCTACACTTCTGCATTAACTCCTAACAACGGGTATGTTTCCAACCTGAGTGCCTTTTTCACCTTCCCGGTTTTAATGAATTTAAGCACATGCCTTCTTGACATTTTAATTGAACAGTGCCAAAAATTTGGGAAACATCGCCAAATAACACGCTGCTGTTATTCCGCAACAGCCCTCTAAATTACAAAAGATCATCCTAGGGGGGATTGGATTTGGAAACTAGATTTTGGGATTGTATGTTTTGAATCTGACAGTTGATGAGAAAATTCCAAACTTCTGTTCAAACCGGGATTTTCTCTTGAATAAATGAAGTGAAGCCCACCAAAAGCAGAGCAGTTACTAAGAAAAACCTCTTTATAAAGGCATAGCTTTAATTAATCCCTTTCAACAAACATGAGTCAATGTCAAATTTCAGCCTCCTCAGCGATTCCCGAGGCCCGTTGGATAGGGGTTGACTGAGCTTTGCTAAAGCAACAGTAGCTTAGTAGCTAAGCTAGAGTAACCATGAGCTTGTGTTTGCTTTAGGATCAGCTTAGGCAATATTCACAAGTCCCAGCAAACATTATCTCCACCATGTACAAGGACATTTTTTCACGAGAGGTCCTGCAGAACCGGGACTCAATAGCAGCTTTATTTTTTCACCATCTCACCTGAACTTTCCTGTTTTGTGTGCGATAATTGGTTTCTTTTCACTTTTGGAAGCTGGACCAACCTTTCTTCACCCTGCCTTGTCAGCACAATATCATGTGCTGTTGATTAATTCTCTGTTAAAAATACCTTCTTTTCCAGTTAGGGTTTATAAGCAGATTGTATTCGTCTTTATAAGACAACTGAAATGTCTCTGACATTTCCTCACCTCTGTGTCGACAAAGCTACATGAGGAACCACAATGGGATGTGCCGCCATCCCTCCGTGTTGTTTGTGTATTCTTCTACCCACATGAAGCTTTGCCACTACTAGGGCTGCACAATATGTCACAAATATATCGTAGTCGCAATGCCAGTGTGCGTAATATTCATACTGCAAAGGGCTGACTAGATTGCAATAATTGTTGTCTAATAAATTTTAAGAGATCTGTATGTTTTTATGCTAATGCAACATTTAGCCAGGAGACTCAGCAAAAGCTCACACTGGACAAATAACAGCAACAAATGCTAACAGTCAAATATATTAGAAAGAGAGGCATATGCCACACCTGATGTCGTCAATATTTACCAGTATTATCGTCATCACAATATCTAATATCGTGCAGCCCTAGTCACCACCCATATCACGTCCAGTTTCAACAGCTACGGGATGCTTTGGTAGGATATGGAAATCAACTGAGTGTGTGAACAGGTCATTTGTGTTCTTCCATCTCTCTCTTCAATCCTTTATAGAGAGCTGCGCTGTAAACAACGGTGGCTGCGACCGGACCTGTAAGGACACAGCTACAGGGGTCCGCTGCAGCTGCCCTGTGGGATTCACCCTGCAGCCTGATGGCAAAACCTGCAAAGGTTAGTAATAAGCGAAATCAACTGTCTAATGTGAGTAGTATGAGAGTTCTGTAGAACTGAACCCAGAGCCCAGTTCTGGGTTCTGCCATGCTTCAGTTGAACTCCTTGGCGCTGATGTTCCTTAACATATCAAACCAATCGGGAAAAGATTTCAGCTATCTTCTAAACCAGTGGTGTCCAAAGTTGGTCCTCGAGGGCCGGCATCCTGTATGTTCTAGTTCTCTGCCTGGTGGCAGTAACAACCTTCTCTGCATGTTGATGTTCTTCTTAGGCCTTCTAACATCATTTGATCCAGGTGTGTTAAACCAGGGAGAGAACTAGAAAATGCAGGATGCTGGCCCTTGAAGACCCACTTTGGACACCGCTGCTCTAAAAAAACATCTGAAGGATCTCATGGTTAGCCTCTCAATGGCTGAGGACTGGGCTTGTATCTGATCTTGGTCAAACACATTCCAAATATCAATGAGTGTTTTCATTCTGAACCGATTTAAAAAGCTGTCTTTAGCCATTGGAAACAATGAACTTTATATCTTTTTCTGTTTTTGAGCAGAAACAGAATTCTTCTGTGTTGTATGTAAAACCAATATTTGACCTTGTATTTAATTACTCTGCATTTCAATACAATACACAATCCTCGTAGGCAAAACGTGTTGACCATCATGAAGTAGAAGTAGTACCAAAGTCTCCATAAAGCTTCTTTGCAAGCAGATGTTTTGGAAGGTTTGCTTATCTGAATCATACATGATCATGATGCACACTTAAAAAGACTGAAAAGACATCAGCAAAGACACAAAAGAAGAAAATTGCTTCCACCCGTCAATCTGAGAAGGGTTAGAAGGATGAGCAACTTTGGATCCATCATTATACAATGAATAGAGCGGATCCTCTGTATTTGCAGAGGTCAGGGGTCATATCTGCCTGTGAGTAGCTAAAATCGGATTACTTGAAACTCCGTTAAACAGGTTAATAAATGTTTATTCAATAGTTGTAACACCAATTATATCTTAACCAAAAAGCTCCTCAAGCAAGCGTAAAAAGTGTTATTTTTGCATAATTGAGGAAGTTATTTTAAATTTTTGCGCGTAAAAAAATATTGATGGAAATGGGCAGTGATGTGTTTTTTCTGAGCACCCAGGTTGGAGGAGCCTTAAAAAAATTACTTAGAAATCCTTACGATTATTAAAGTAACTGGATTGTGGTTAGAATTCAAGTCTTGGGAAAAAAAATTAAATACTCCTGACACCTTTACAAAATATCAGGTTTATTTTTGATGAGGCGACAAACAAACAGCATGTCATCATGGCTGACGGTCAGAGCTCTTACAGAACCCTCATTCATTCATGGCCACCTCTGCTTCCTCCTCTCCTCCACATGGATTGGAAGCTGGACTACTGGGACACTTCCACCCAACCACATGTCACAGACTTGTTCTTAGAGGAGTCACCATGGCGACTGGACATATTGGTCATGTGACATCAGCACTGCTGTTTGCTTAGCAGAATATGGATACCTCATGGGAGATGTGTACTCTTACACATTTAATATTACTGAGTGTATGAGAGCGGGAGAGTGGGAGAACGAGAGAGAGAGAGAGAGAAGTGTGTGTTTGCAAAATGAGTGTCAGGTAGTGTGAGAATGTGGCATGTAGGTGTGTGAAACCTTGGAGCCGGAGCCGTCTCAGGGCTGCCAGGCAGACGACGCGTCGGCAAACTTTGAGATGTTTGAGCAGAGAGGCCCACGCTGTCCGCTTCTCCCTCTTCACCCCTCCAAACCCCACAAGACATGACCGCAGTCATACAAACAGCGCCATCAAGCTGCGGACTCTGTGAGTACATCAGTCCTGCAGTGAAGGTGGAGTCCTTGATTTGGCACACACACAAAGATCATGTTTTGCAGAATTGGCAGGTTCAGCGTTCAGGTTGACGGTTCAGGTTGTGCGGAGCGGTTCAGATCCGTGAGATTTCAGCGCCAAGAGCTTTATTAGGATAGCACAGCAAACTAACTGTATTTCAGTGTATCATCAACAGAGGTGCAGCTCTCTTCTCACATGACTTGGAATATCAGTGGCACCACTGATATCAAGAATTTTGAAGCTTTTTGAACTTTTTTACGGCTTTTTGAGAACATGAAAGCAAGAGTTTCAGTTGCAATAAGTAAGACCTAAAGTGTCCCATAATATCCAGGCTTGTTTGATATGAAGGGAGTTTGCTACTCATAGTGCCACCAGTGCAGAGCTTGCTCAACACTGGCAGCAGGTGGCTGTAAAGACTTTGCCAAAATTACCCAACTACTGAAACCCGAGCCCCTAAAGAAAACATGTCTGTCCAAGAAAAACTTTCAATTCAATTCAAAATCAATTTTCGATTTGTTTTGTTATGGCAAACTGAGAAAGTCAGAGTCTCGTAGCGGTTCTTCTTTTAGAAGTCTGCCATAATGATGATAGTTGGAAAGCTTACTATTTACTCAGGCAGAACGTTTCCATTCTAGAAGCGCTGCTCATGGTGACAGTTGGAGTAGCTCTCTTAACTCTGATTAGCTTGTTTCATAAACTTCTGCTCATCCTTTTGGATGTTTTGCATGTTTGGACAGTTATTCCTTCTGTCTGGTTCTGGCTGGTGTTATGATCTGTGTTTTCTGTGTGGTTATTTTTGAGGTTTTTCTGTGTTTTAGTTTTCCCGTGAGTCTGTCTTCCCTGTTGATTGCTCCCCAGATGTGTCTACTTACCTGATTACCCTCCCTGTGTATTTAAACCCACCTGTTGTCTTTGTCTCTTGTCGGGTTCTTGTCTTAGTTTGTCTATCGTCTAACGCAACGTCTTGTGAGTCAGTTTGTTAAGTCCTGAGGTAGTTTATTTCTGTGTTCAGTCCATGTCAGTTGCTACCGGTATTAGCTACGTGCTTGTTTGCTGCCGTGCTTCCTGAGCCAGGACTGTGTTCGTCTCTCTCATTAAACGCTTCATCTTCACCATACCTGGGTCTCGGCATCAATCCTCACCACCATCAACAACCACTTTATGACAGACGGAGGGATTTTTGCTCTTACTTTGTCACTTTCAGACAGTTGCTACAACACACAAACACAAACACAAACCCAGAGGAGTTGAAAAGGCTTCATGGATGCAGAGCAGAGAGAGAAGGAGGAAGTTAAAACCATAACGGACAAGAATCAGATCTCTGACTCCGTCACTCTGCCTGGATGTTTTACTGTACTGCCAGACAGATTTAAAGAGGAGTGGCAAAAGCAAAGGAGGTGGATTAGCAGTACCAACAACTGATGGAATCATTCAGGACATTTTACAATGAAACATCGTCTCTGCTGCCTGGACATTGAGCTGTCAGTGTGTCATGACCTGTTTCAGTCAGAGGCTTTTGTAGATTCATTGCGAGGCTGACTCCTGCAAGCTCCATCAACAACTCTTTGAAGATGGTTCAAAAAATATGAGTTCCAACTTTTATTTTCCCATTGGAATAAAAATCTCCTTTTTTAATTACATTTGAATTAAACTGATGAGACAAACTGCGTACGTTTGCATTATGTAGAAGTGGAGATAAAATGTCTTCATGTCCTCCAAAGTCTCCTCTGGTTACGTTTTGCCGTAGTGGAAGCCAGCATTTACAGACGGAGTGCCTTTAATTGGGCTTGAGTTGAGTAGAGAAGATGGATATGAGTACAGGCCAGCTGTGCCACGCCCACTTAATCTGACCAGCAGTGAGCCCTCAGGCGTCCTCAGTCTGCTCCTCAGGAGTGGAGTCATGGGCAAGGCAGCGCACATTGATCTGTCAACATGTGCAAAGTCTGCAGGACCACCACAGTCACCATCAGGTTACACACTAACCTCACAGCTTTGATTCCTTTTTGGTTTTTCTGATTGGAACATAATCATAACATAATCAGTTTGAAAATGATCTGAATGAACTTCAGGACTTGCAAATCTTCAGTCAGAGGCTTTTGTAGATTCATCAATCAACACCCAATCAACATGTCTTTGAAGATGCTTCGACAATATGAGTTCCAACATCATCAGGACTCATCAGGGCCCAGTTAAAGTCCATTCTTCAACTTGAATAAAACACAGTGGTTTAATCTCAGGAGTTGCCTGTACCTCATTAGGTGGTAAACAAGAGTATCTGCTATATTTAAAACAACTGAATTTCAGCATTATAATACTTTATTAATCCCAAAGGAAAATGCAATGTTCTAACACCAACTAACCACAATTTTTCAGAGTCATGTTGGATGGAGATGGTGACGGCTGTGTTCTTCATGGTATGAAAAGTCCATCTTTGCGCAAGTATCTCTAGAGAGTCTAGAGGATGGCAGAGAGAACGACTATCACGAATTCACAAGTTCAGAGGAGGAAGGAATGATGATTGACGAGATGGAATGTCTCATTTTATTTTCCATGTTATTGGAAATAAAATAATAATAATAATAATAATAATAATAATAATAAACATAACAGATGTGGAGGGACGTTTGCCTGATGCGTTGGACCAGAACCGAGCAGGAGCAGTTCAGAATTTTGGTCGAACATCATGTTCTTCCTTACAGCCTCAGACAATTGCACTTCTAAATATGTCAACCGGCTTCTGGAAGTCGAGTAGTCAGAGCTAGACAGCCCCACTGTCCCAATGCATAAACAAACACTCCCATGAAATTCAGACCAATCATTCAGTAACTTTGCATGTGGAAAGAGGCAAAATGTTCACAAGGGAGGTTGTGAGAAGAATGGGCAGCTGAGAACAAAAAATCATGTAACTGCGACAATTAGAACTGATTTCAGAGACTTTAACACCACTCAGCAAGAAAGAACCATTATTCCAACAGCAACTTGGAAATTTAGAGACCTGTTCTATAGTCTGGTGAAGATGAAACTGAAGAGTTCGGCCATAATGACCATTGTTTCAACTTCAGGAATAAGGTGGACAACACTGACAACTATGAAGCATGGGAGTGGCAGCATCATACTTTGGAGGTATTTTGCTGCAGAATAGATCACG